ACAGAACATGCCAATCGTAAGTTGTCCGCTACAGACTAGTATGAAGTCTCTGAACGATCTCCAGATTTCCATTAGGCAGCATGACCTACGGAAATTGTGGTATAACCCTTGCTTCGATTCACGTGTAACCAATTGCACTAATTCTAGGTGACCATGTCATGCTGCGTAGTGAGAAAGAGAAGGATCCGGAGCGTGTAACACTGCTGTAATCTGTCTCTCGTCGATAAATGGGACTGCTGTCCACCACACAAGCAGTGTTTTTAAGCTCCTAAGCAGCATGACATTTTCTCCGATCAGGCCGGTTGCAGCTCCTGACGGGATGGCGATGAGGTCTTATGGATCGTTTCTTGTAGCATAATTAGGCTCATGTATTAGTATCATGTCGTAAAGTAAATAACTACTTTAGTTATACTACACTACTGTAGTAATCCAGATTCTGAAATTGAATCTACTACTACTATAATATGAAGGGAGCCTCTACTACTACTACTACTACGTGGATGTAGTACTTTGGAAGAAAACCAAAATACTGTCTATCCCTAGTGGCAGTGACTCATTACCGGATGACTGGCACCGTTGCCACTGTATCTTGTGTCCTGCGGCGCCAAGCCAGCGCCGACTCGCTGCAAGACGTCGGTCAGCTCATCTCCGACTTCCTCGGCCCAGACCCGAATCTTTCTCTGTCCGAGGCCTGCGCGTTCCGCTCCCTCCCGCTGCTCAACTGGATCTGGCGCGTCAGTTGCGAGTCCACAGCCTCCCGCACGTCTCAATGGACGCTAAACAACTACCTCCGCTCCGACCCAAAGTACTACCAATGGCAGTTCCAAAAGGCGGCGATAGTCGCGGCTTCAAACGGACATTTAGATGTCCTTAAGTGGCTCTTTGAGCACTTTTCAGGCAGCTGGACGCCCGTGATCAGGGTTGAGTCTATAATAACAGCTACCTATTTTACAGCACGAATCCATGAAAAACTAAATGTTAACGGGCGGTCAGCCATTCTTCCAGTAATCTAATCATCTCCAGTACCCAGCCACTCAGTTCATGTAGATATAAACCCCTGTAGTTTAATACCTGACTAAAAGCGATAGACTGCCTGATTGTTGCCAATGTCTTCTGCCTTGAGTACTACAGTAAAGCAATGAAGGTGTGCCAGCTAAGACTTGGTTTTTCT